AATATATAGTATAGCCGTGACGTAGGCGAATTTGGTGTCGTCCATTAACCCCCTCTGGAGAATATGACGTTTGGTGGTGATGATGGAGTAGAAGAGCTATCACTTCAGTGTATGTTGTAGTTTTATGCAGCTTGCATTGTTGACGGGCTGTGAAATAGTTTATATTGTTTTCGCATTAGATAGAAGATGTTAACAGCCCCCGACTTTGTTTGCGCCCCCTCCACACACACACACACCATCAGACCTCTCATAACTCGCCGGTTGCAGCCTAAAGCCCAATCTGTAGGCAATACCTACCAATAGAAAGTTTGTAATATTGTGCCATTGTGAACGTCGAGGAGTTTGAAGATGAATATGACCAATAATTAAGCCTAATAACAAATCGGCCACTGTAAATTGTCCATCTGAACAATACCGTCGTCATGTGATTGTACTTTGGCCATTCATGGTATCGCAGGATGAAGTTATCGCGAGCGTGTATCCATTTGGAGCTGAAATATACACAACCTCAGTCGTACAGTATTCTTTTTACACAACTCACACCCTGCCTCGTCGGCATGTTACTGTTTTCAAGGACAACAAAAACTGCAATTGACGGTCAGTACTGTCAGTACTGGTACTGTTATAGACATTTGCCCCTCTTCATTGAGGAAGTGCAGTTATTTAAAAGCGCAGTTATTTTCCCTGGTAATTGGGTCTACATGTTTTAAGTGTTGCTGCTGGAAATCAGCGTAGGAGCAGGCAACTCCACCACCAGGTACCCACTATACTCCAGGGTGGAGAGAAGCAATGCAGATAAAGTACCTTGCTCAAGGACACAAGCGAAATGCACAGAGGGGGATTGAAAAACCTTGAGGTTGGGAAACCAAACCGTTCCCGCTACACAATGGAGTTTTCGGGAAAGCACTCACATAGGGCATGGACAAATTTGTTGGCCACCGTCTGTCGACACGTGCGCCAGGCTTAGTTATGGCATAGGTTATAGGTGCAGGTTAATGTTTAAGCTAAATCCGAGCACACGGCAGTGGTCAGCCGAACGGATTTCATCTGAGAACGCAATGTGACGACAGGCGTACGCAACCAAACATTTTTAATGACGATCCACTAATACTGCTACCGAATGAACAAATCGGAAGCGCTTACTGAGATTGAAGATTGGTTCGACACTACAACCGCCTGGGTGGCAAACCGGTCCGGGTGGCAACGGGCCTATGGTAAATGGCCGGGTGGTAAAAGTAAAAGGCCAGGTGGTAAATGACCGGATGCAAAAGGCCAGGTAGTAAAAGGCCAGGTGGTACAGTAAATGAAAGGATGCAAAAGGCCATGTGGTAAAAGGCCGGGTAACAATAGGCCGGATGGCAAAAGAGGCAGGTGGCAACAGGCCCAAGAATAACAATCAGTACGCATAGCCCCAGCCACATTAGTCTACGAATTTAGAGCGAGAAATTTGATCCATGCTCGTTACAGCTGTAAACAACAATGTTTCACTCGTGTTGCGTAAAGCTGGGCAAATTCTGCTTCTGCCGTAATATTCTATGGAGCGACGGGTCGTTTTTAAAGATGATCTGCTACCGTCGCCAAGCGTTCACACAACGCGAAGACGGGTTCATCGGCCGACGGCCGTCTGACCCTCGGCAAACGCAGTGAGTGCCGAGCTTAAGAGACCTAAATAGCTTCATGTGACGTTTACGTCTTAATACGAACATGTATTGTTTAAATCTGACAAATATTTGACGGTGGTGTATGCCCAAATTTAGTCAATCGGTATTGATTTACTTTTAACGGCGGCATATTTCGACAACCTGCTTCAGACGAAATGCTTTTGAAAAAAAATGGCATGATTCTCATTTTATTCTTTCTATTATTAATCTTTTGTGAGTGGTAAGTCCAGGTTTGCTTAAATTAATCATTAATAGAATATATAATAATACAATAAAATATAGCAGGTATTGTCACGAACCTCTCTTGATGACGAATATGTTATTGTTATCGACGTGATTAAACCATTGATTAGAGCAATTGCGAAAACTTTCTCAAACCCATACATCTACATATAAGGCATTCGAAAACCATTACTATATGCGACAAATGACTCACTGGTTAAAAAGCAGTGATCCCATTACAAAACGAGTTGAAACGGTATAGAGAATATCAACACCAGTAATACTAATAAGTCGAGGAGTGACTCAGTGTTATATGCGTGTCTATAGCCGCATTTCTCATTAAAAGCATTCCGTACGATATCAAACCCATATTTACGTAGGGTGCGCGGTAATGTACGGTTAATTGGAGCCACATTCAGACGAATATTACTAGCGAAATTGTAAATATTTTATTAACAATATTCCTTCCACGGCTTTCGTCTGTAAATTGAGAGCTGTCAATTGTAATATTTGATAGGGCTTATACACTTAATTTCGTTCAGATATTGAACACAATTTTGTTTTCATTCATGTAGGGGCGGGAATAACGAGCTAGCTCGCTATCAAAAAACAACAACATTTATTAGATGGTTGCGTCATCATTAACGCTTGAGAGCTAATTCGATTTTGTAAAATCAAGACAAAATTAAAATTGTATTATTCCTAGGTCTAATATTATTAATAATACTGTATTATAT